ACTGGTGATGGTGGCGGTAGCGATGATCGATGACCAATCAAGGTTTAGAATCATGGGGCTTTTGATGTATAGGTGTCGACGAATTTGATGGTGGTGCTAGGGAGTTCCATCGGCGCCGGAACTCGCCGGAACTAGGAAAGAAGTCCGACGGTTGCGTGAACTTTAGGTGGACCATGAGTGATGAAGGCTGGATGACGGCCACTGAAAATGGCTTGGTTTTGTCGTGGAGATGACGTCAAGTCTAATGTTGGTGTTTTCTCCCTTGAACGATGCCGGAATCCGGCGAGATTGAGTTGCGATTGGACCGCGATTGGGTAGCAATTCGGCAATATTCCAGTGGTCCAACCGTGGTCCAATCTAGTTTGAATGAAATTAACAGTTTTCAAAGGATACCAGATCGGATATGCCGCCAGTTACCAATCGAACCGGTCCGATCGAACGGTCCGGTCCAGTTTTCAGAACATTGAAGCCAAATTGTTACCAATCTAGTGCTTTAGGATCTGCTTGTGAGTTTTTTTTCACTGGTTTTGAGGGTTTTTAATTAGACTGAGTTTGAGGTATTCTAAAACCATTATTTACCAGATTTTTTATACACCAATTTTGACTGGCTCAAAAAAACCTCAGAATCAATGTAGTGTATTTTTTAGGGGTTTATAAAACACCCCAAATCAGAGTGTTTTGGTTGATTTTAAAATTCTATTCCACAAATATCCTATCCAGGATAAAACTATCATAATTATATCCAAAAATAAAAATTAACCATATTATGCGTGTCTCCAACCATATTAAATATAAAATAATTTTAAGTAATCATAAAAAAAATTATTAAAATCTCATTTCTAGATGTTTTCTTGGAGAAGTGGAGCTACAATTTTTCAACCATTCCAGATCCTGCAAAGAATGGCGAAGAAGGATAAGAAGAATTTACCACATTTGAAATTATAAAATACTAATAAGCATGGTTGTTAGTATCCTACGATACCCGATACGTATCATATGATATGATTCGATACAGGTAGCCAACGATACGTATCAGAGAGTGTATCCTAAACCATTCAATAAGTTGATATGTATCCTACGATACGATACGTGTCCGTTCGTATCCTTAAAAATATCGATATAAATCGATACGACTTTATTAATTTGGGCCAAATGTCCAAAAAAAATTTGGGTCGAAACCGGGTCACCCAACCTGATTCACTAAAACCTGTCCAAATTTACCTATTTTGCATAGAGAAAGTGAAGAGGAATATGTATTGCCCATTTTATATGATAATAATAATATAAGTGGAGATATAGATATTGACATTGATCTTGGAATTTTGTGATTAATTTTGATTATGTAATACCGTAATTTAAAGTCAATAATCCACAAAATTCTTTAATTAATCTTGGGGATTATATTAATTTTTAGAAAATTTTGATTATTTTATTAATTTTTTTGAAAAAGACGTATCTTACGATATGATACGATATGCGATACACAATTCAAAAAATTAGGTTTTCGATACACGATTTGATAACCATGCTAATAAGTAGAAAACAAATAAAGAACTCTTACCTTATAATTGAAAACATAAAACTCCCAAGTACTGGTCAGAGTTGGAGAATTTTTATGAGTATATATATAAATTTATCATTTTAAAAAACTGTCAGAACTACTGGAAAATAAACTCTCAAGCACAGGTTTGGTGTTTTAAAAACCGTTACTAAAAATCCCTCAAAACCGCTATGATGGTTTACCTTCAAAACTATTATGGTGGTTTATTCTCATAATCGTTACCATGAAACTCCACCCTTAATAATATGGTAGTTACACTCAAGTTTTATCCTGAAATTTAATTAGGTCTTTGTGAAAAAGTTTAATATATAATAAATAGATTTTCAATTTCGGGGGCTAGTCCGGTCCCGTCCATGAAGTGTATGTATAAGACGATTAGATTGAGCAGTCAAATTTAGTTATTGGACCATATTAAATTCTGAAAAGTTGGCCTACCTCCAAGGAGTATGCTTAAGTACTTAACGCAATTAAGTTTGAGACTTCCTTCAGCATATAGCATTATGGTTAATCCAACTTTGCTGAGAGAAGGAATCTTATTACAGTCCAACAAAACAATGGAATCCTACTGTGAATTCAAGGGTGGATCCAGCATCATCTATCCTTAATTAATTGTTTTTATATCAAAACAGTATAAATATAAATGCCCACAATTAAAGTAATTGTTCAAGCCACCAATTATAAATATATATATATATATATATATATAATTGGTGGCTCGAACAATTATATATATATACTGCTAATTAATCTTCATAGCTTTTTGTATCTTTAATTTTATTTAGTGAGTTCGTCTCTTTATCTTGTCACTCAGTTGGAGTTAATTTTTGAAGACCTAAATTGTTCAACCTTTTAGTATTCTAGGTGTTACACTATTTTCTGCTTTATTAGATTTAGGTATGTATATTATTTATTTTAATTTAGTTTATTTTAGGGTTGAATTATGTTTTTTTTTTTTAGGTGTTTTATTCTGATGAAAAAAGACATAAATCTTATTAGTTTATTTTGTGTTTGTTTGATTTTGTAATTGGTTGAAAACATTATTATCAATTTGACTTTAGATATAACAAATACATTTATAAAATTTATTTTTTATATAATTAAATGACAACTTGATTTGCACCAATCATTAATATATTAATAATAATATTTTTATTATTTTATAATGTAATTAGTTGGCTAAGTATGTTCTAATAATAATTAAATTAAATCTAGTTGATCTATGCTAATAATTTAAATATCGGGAAATTGATTAGCAAATTATATAAGTTTTTAAATTTCACTAAAATGAGTTTAAATATAAGAAAATTAACACAATAAAATGATTAATTAATTACTAAAATAATCTTTTAATTCGATCTAATTGTTACATCTAAAAACGTGATAAATCAATCTTTATAATTTTATTAATTAAAGTTTTATCACTCTTTCTTTATATGTATTATACTATCTTTTTTTACTTGATAGTTATGATATTCAATTATTTCAAGAGATTAAAGAAAATTCCAGTAAAAATTGTGTTTCCTTATGAATTAGATGTTATTTTCAATACATTTACTCGAGGTTTGCTTAAGGTTTAGTGGTTTTTTAAAAGTTTTCACCAGTTGTTTGACAAACAATATTGAAGTCGTGGAGGCCCCATGGGGGCAAAAATCCTGATTCCATCACTGAATGTGTTGGTATCTCCATGATTATAATATTTGGTTGCTGATCACTGTCTTGGTCAACAGGTCCAGTGAAGATGCTCAAATCAAAATCATTCAGTGGCGCACAAACTAATAAACGATAAGTTTTCTTGCTTTCATGGTCAATAGTGATCTAGAACTGTTGAATACTGTCCATTGCAAAAGATGAGTTTCTATTAAAAGCACAAAATGGGTTGTTTTCCAGGGACATAGAAATGCTCTTTGGTTTCTTCTGAAACCGCACATGTAATATAGCCATATAGGAATTGATCACTTGAAGCTTTTGTGCCATAACCAAACACAAAGGCACATGCAAACAGCCGTGTGAAGTTCTGGCAGGCTGTTTGGAATATCAATGGCAATTGAATTGACCCACAAGTTCTTATTTCTAGTTCCGTCTAATATTTAGTTTTGTGTAAACAGTTCTTATTTTCACATTGAAATGACTGAGTTGCTGCTTGGGAACCACATAAAAAGTTTCTGATAATAAACCAGTGGAAGTTCTTATCTTGAGCTCCATTTCTGCATACGACACTCAAGGTCTTTGAGTCAATTCTTTACATGTTCACAATCTATGCATATTAAGAATTTCATCGTGTTTATGAACATAAATCTGTTTTCAAAATTGGGTGGAAAGAAGGTGGTTTCAATCTTTCCAAGTTTGTGAACAAATGAAGGAACCATTATTGCCAACTTCTAAGCATGGAATTGTTTTATAGATGGAGGATTATTTGCGGTTGCGGCCTGTGTCTTTATGAGTCTAATAGACCAACAAAAAAAATTGTTCAACTTCCCACCATGTCGTTTTTGCTGGAATTGTTGACCACTTCAGCGTTAGTGCTGGAATTGTTGTCCACTTCAGCATTAATGGATTGTGCAGATGCAGTTGGAGGTCTCGCTGTAAGTTATTAATTCATTATTATGTTTGGATTTAAGAATAAGATTCCTTGTAATACTAGGTTTTAGTCTTTTAAACTTAGTATATAAATATACTTTTATCTTATAACGAGTGATAGCAAACACTAGAGCAAATTCATTCCTTGTAAATGGGAGAGATGAGACAATATTACAATAATATTGACTAAACTGGACGTAGCCTGTTAATTAGGTGAACCAAGATAAAATCGTGTGTATTTCTTCTTTCTCTTGACTGTTTGTGTTTATGTGTTTACTGTTATTTTTGTTTTCATTACTCTATTGGTTCAGTTTGTTGAAGTTGCCATCATGGTTTAATTTCTCCAAATAAGATTCTTTTCAAATCAAAATAATTACTATTTAGATTAATGTATCAAACTTGAGAATTCATTAGCCTCCAGTGGATGGAAGGGCCCTCAAGGCCTGAAGGAATATTTTTATTCTTCCAATTACTCCAAACTCTCATTTATCATTAGTGCTCTGCGACCAGATTCATCCAACATAACGACTTTGCTTGAAATTTTTTTTGAGTTACAAGTAAATTCCATGACCTCTGCTCTTCTTTGATTAATAAAATACAGTAGACACTATATGTTTCGAATTTTATTGTAAGCCTTCTATAAAATTACTCGAATCTTATTTAAGTCAAAACAATAATGGCTGAGATAAAACCTCTTGATAAATTAGTGATTACATGTAACATATTTGACAGAAATAATAATTCCGGTTTTGGGGTCTAAGTCAGAGCATCTTGTAAGGAACGTATTAGTGCCAGTCTTTCCTAGCATTATCAAGAGAGTGGGAAGGTGACAAAAATCCTTGCCTATAAAACCCCATAACGACGCTGAAGTTGTTGTGCCCATCGAAAGATTCTCCTGGATAATTTTTCTTTGTACCAAAATGAGTACTCCCTCAAAAAAATTCCAATTTGTCTGCTTGGCCTCACTCCTTATTTTGTGCACTTGGGTCATTCATGCTTTATGCCGCCCTCTCAATGAGGAATTTGTCCTACAAAGGCATGAGGAATGGATGGCTCAACATGGACGTGTCTATAAAGATGCACAAGAAAAGGAGAGACGCTATAATATTTTCAAGAACAACTTAGAATATATTGAAAATTTTAACAATGATGTGGACCGCGGATACAAGCTAGCCATTAACAAGTTTGCAGACCTTACAAATGAAGAATTCCGTGGCTTGTATACCGGTTACAAGAGGAAAACCTCAAAAGCAGTAACCACATCAAAAGACACATCTTTTACACATGTAAACTTAACAGCTGTGCCAGCTAGTTTGGACTGGCGAACAAAGGGTGCTGTGAACCCTGTTAAGGACCAAGGCCGATGTGGTAAGTAAACGTGTTATTTAGTGTGGCCAGAGTGTTTTTGTTGTGTTCTTTATTTTATAGTCACTTACTGTTTGTTATTGTCAATATATAGGCTCTTGTTGGGCGTTTTCAGCAGTGGCAGCTGTGGAAGGAATAACTCAAATAAAAACCGGTAAGTTAATATCGTTGTCAGAGCAAGAGCTGGTAGACTGTGATACTGAAAGTGGGAATAAAGGTTGTGGAGGGGGTTCCATGGACACTGCCTTTGAGTTCATTAAAAGAAACGGTGGCCTAACAACTGAGGCTGATTACCCCTATGAGGAAATAGGTGGCAATTGTAAGACTAATAAGGCGGTAACACGAGCAGCCAAGATTACTGGGTATAAAGATGTGCCAGCGAACAACGAGAAGGCCTTGCTGCAAGCTGTGGCAAAGCAACCAGTTTCTGTTTCAATTGAGGGCAGTGGCTACAGTTTCCAGTTTTACTCAAGTGGCGTATTCACTGGTGACTGTGACACACATTTAAACCATGCTGTTACCGCCATTGGGTATGGTACTGGCACCAGTGGCACTAAGTACTGGTTGATCAAGAATTCTTGGGGCACTGGTTGGGGTGAAAGCGGGTTCATGAGGATTCAGAGAGATGTTAGCGCAAGAGAAGGCCTTTGTGGGATTGCAATGGAAGCATCTTATCCAACAGCATGAAAAATATGGTGGGTTTGTGTATTTCTGAACTTAAATTTCCTTCCAAGATATTGTAGTTTGAATATGTCTGTACAATAGTGTGTGGAATAAAACTCTGATGTCAATATCATGTACTTTAAAGTTAACCTTTCTTTCTGTTGCCAAACAAAGCAAAAGAGAGAGAGTGAATAAATAAATGCAGAGTCTGCATATATGTTTCTCCAACAACTCAGCAATCCAGTTTTTGCTTATATTTAAGTTTCCACTCTTTCATTTGCTTGGAATTATATGGTTCTACTCAACAGATCAGTCAATATCGTGCCTTATGATGACAAAGTGAGTAAACCAAACAGTTTTTTGGGTATGATCTATTGGACAGGTGTTGATTATAAAAAATAAATAAATAAAAGAACAGGGCCTTCAGGTTAAAAATTGATGTAACAATTGTTGATTTATATTTACAGGTTAGTTAGCATGTCCAATAATCACAAACAAAACTATCACTCAAGCTACCAATATAAAAAAGGGACTAAAACCTATATATGGCCTCTTCTTCCTCTTCAACAGATAAGTTCACTAAAAATATTTTGATTGGATTGGGTTAATCTTTATATATTCATTCTACCACAACCCTCCTTTCCATTTTTTTTTTCTAATTTTATACAGTTTGCCCAGATTCCTGGATCACTAGATATATAACAATAAAATTATTTAGAGATCATTTGGTTTCTATGGTTTTTAGTTTTTTTTTTTTATGTTCTTGCTAACTGATTCTAGTCCGTGTATTATTTTATTTCTTATTTATCCTATACAAGAAATTTATAAAAATTGAAAAGACTTCCTGTGCTAACGCCCCATCATAATACAATAACAGTAACACAACCTGAAGAATTAAACAAGATAAGCTCTCGAGAAAAGACTTACAAAAGAAGCAGGACGTCTGCAATGTCCGTATCATGCTGCAACAAATTTTTGGAAGTCTGCGGAGTTCAAGTTTACATTAGCCTGACATCATTGGCTTATGAGCATAATTGAACAGACAAAGAGAACGTTTAATTATTTGCGTATGGCTTGCACTGTTGCATTGATTATTTAACAAGATAACAACACCACTCAAGAACAAAATTAAGCTAACTGATAACCAACTAATAATTAAGAGTGTAACTTTTATTTGCGTTCAGTTTAGAATAATTGTATTCAAAGACGGATATTGAACCTAATGTTATGCTTCTTTCACAGGATTAACTTAGAGGTATACAAGATTATCAGATTATAAAGAAATAAAGAAGCAAGTTCTGGGAAAAAGAAATACGAACCTGAACTAGATGGAGCTAATATGATGAAGGATGGAAAAAATTATCTGTTGCGGCATTAACATTCCATAATCCTATTCTAGGAGCCCCAAATCAAGGTTTGACTATGCCAAATCGTTGTTTTGGATGAATTTATGGAGCCAACTATTGTTCTATAAATATGGTGTTTGCCAACTCGTGCTAAAATATTCCACATGGAAGGGATAAAAGTAACTAGTAAATTGGTGTTCATTGATTTTGAATTTAGATTATTTCACTGTACATACTGTTAAATAGGATAAGAATTCAGGGAAGCAACTTAGCGTAAGGGAACTTGTTGATTACGACTATATAAATTTCTTAAATACATAATCTTAGGGCGGCAAGTCTAAATCATATGTATTTTCCTGCTGGGGCAAGGAGCCAGTTTTGTTTAATTTCTCTTGAGAGTAACAGAAATATTTATTTTGACCTATGAAAATGAGAGGTTGTGACGTGAAGTCTCAGTTCGTCAAGCCTCACTATAGTGATGGAAACAGACTATAACTAAAACCGATTAATTTGCAGAGGTAAACTATGAAGAGTTTCATAACGTCGCATAGGGTATACACAATCCCAACTGGGACTTCCCTATGACATGAAAAATCTTTATACTCGAGACGGTGAATGCTATAGTATAATGCTTCCTTCTACCTCATAACACTAGATAAAAGAAGAATAATCTTTACAATAATTCACTTACCATGAAGGAAATGCATTCAAAGTAGCTATGGGAAGCAATCACTTAACTGCTAAGGAGTAATACCACTCTTTTAAAACTCGGCCCAACCACAGCCCGATTTAATCAAGACTCGGGAGCTTCACTGGACTGGGTTAACAATTTTTCTATTCATCCAAACCCTAGAATTTAAGATGATGATTGACGAACAGTTGAAGGTTGGGATGTTAGGGCTTTTAAAAAGAAAGTACCTATAATTGCAATGGTAGCGACGAAGTTAATTTCCGATGAGTAAACCGACCAGAAATTGAAAAAAACAGGTAGCGACAACATCTAGCTTTTGCCGACGATTGGCGAGGCTAACGAGGGTGAGGTAAGGTGGGTTTTGATCGGAAGGAAGAAGGTAGTACTTTTAGAGTGATAGGGAAGGTTGTCAACGCTAACGTCGGTGAGATGTAAAATTGGAATGTCGACACCGGCATCAGTGAGATCTGACCAAAATCTAACCAATTTCTGCCAAATCTTGGATAGATTTTCTGGGGAATGGGCTCAAAGAATGATTGGGATTGCATTTAAGATGTCACAGTCGGCAACCAGTCGTTGGCCGATTTATATTTAGCGTGTGTTTGCTAAATTTAAAATTTGTACAAAAACTCTAATTTTCAAGGATGTATTTTCTGAATTTTAAAAGTTGTCACCCAGTTTGATCGGCCGGTCAAACCAGTCTACCCGAGACCCAGCAACTTTGCTGGGTTTCACCTTGGGTTGGTTATTGAAACATTGAGCAATACAATGATTGTTAATTTGCAGCCTAAATCTAGATAATGTTTAGTCACCCTAATCTACTTAAATAATTTGACAAAGGAGAGTACAAAATATCAAATTAAAGGAGATCTTAACGCTTGCTGGAAAACATAACAAATACGGAAACATTACAAGACATAGGACTCTACCTAAAAGAAAATTCCACACTCGTAGACCTCATAAGTCATAAGACTCGTTCTCGCAAAGATAATCCATCTGAATCTAACTGCTAGATTGGCACAACTAAGGGTGAACAAAATCTGCATCTTAGGGCATGGAGATGTCAACAGTTGGTCTCAACTGAGCACAAACTTCAATGGCTCCATGAACGGGATCAGACAGGAAGTTGCTAAGGAGGTCCTGGTTGACCGGAGTCCCTGCATCAACTGCTACCAAAGCTTGTTGGGTAAGGACGTAATCAAATCTTGGGGCCCATTTCCTGGATCCCAACCTTGCAGTTGTGGAACAGTTATCAACCATGAATGAGACTCCTCAAGCATGCATGAAAGGGTTCAAAGAGTCCACTGCTTCTATCAAACTCTCATTAATTATTTCTGAGTATGAGTGCCCCTTCTTCCTCAATACCTCAATCTGGAATTTTGCACACACAAATGGTAGGTAGTTAAGCACAGAATCCAAAGCATAATATCCATTTTGTTGTAACCACTAACATTGGATAAGAATGTAGAGGATTGATCCAAAAGTGACAATGAAGTTATTACCTGAGCCATCATAAGTGCCACAAAAAGCCCGGCAGTGAAAGGAACAATGGACCGAACTCACCATGTGGTCGTGTTGCTCGAACACGTTCACCAACTTTCCACATCCGAGTTTGATCAATGTTACCCATTGGGAAAGCTGGTAGACCCTCCTTTTCCTGTTGACAAGTAAAATCAACCACCCAGCGACAACTGATTTACTAAGCTTTAAGTAATGAATAAAAAATACAAAAGGTCTATACAAATAAAATCAACATACATAAAATCGATGTCCAGCCAAAACAACACTGCGAATTTCACTCCCACTGGCTAAATCTTCATAACACTCATACAAAATGTCCATACAAGGATAATTTGAGGCACTGTATGCAACCTCAAATTCACTTTTTCCATCCTCCGACAATGAGTTATACACAGCCAGCATACCCTATCAAAACAAATACATGCAAACAAATCGACAAGTCCAGAATAAGTACATTTTCTCCCAATGGAATAATCCACATATTCAAAAAATAGAGAATTGAAAGACAAAAGCTACCTTTGTTGAGATCGTTTTTGATACAATTCCTGTTATGCACTCAACCGTATTCTTGTATGCCAAATCCTCACTCATTCCATGCTCGGTGTACCTTCTAAACAAGCACTCCACAACTCCGTGAACGGCACCTAATAATATGCCTATATGACAAAATAAATGCATAAAGAAATACTGTGAATACTGTAAATGAGATAAAAAAGTTGAAATAATCACATAAACTACCGAGCTTACCCCGCTGCCCAAATATGTCACTTTTGTACTCCTGTCCCAATGTGGTGGTAAAGGTAAATAGAGATCCAAGGGCAACAGACCACCCCAAGGCAACATCTGCAACCCTACCATCAACATCCTGCTCGAAAAACAAGAGAATAAACATTCATTAACTTCACTAGGGCACAGATTTAAAAGTGGCACCGATTGTTATAACAAAAGCATATTAAGGGAAACAAAGAGGGCAAGATAGATTAAAGACAGAGAGACCTGATGTACAACAAAACTAGCATTTATTCCAGCTCCATTTATCTCTTTACCCTGAACATACAGTCTCCTAACAGAAGGTCCCATCCCCTTGGGACAAACCGCAATAACACTAATGTTCTTTGGAAAATCAAGACCCAGGGATTGCAAATGACCAAGAAGAAATCCATGAGAAAGGCCAAGGATGCTGTTTGGTTTCATGTGGGAGAAAATCTTCTCATAATTATCTGCCTGCAGCACATAAGAAAAAATTACTGATAGCAGAGAAACAAACAATATATAAAATATTGAAAGCAAACTTGCCCAAATATAATGAATAAGAAATGCATAAGCCATCCAGTATTTAACTATAAGCAAGAAGAAAACCAGCCTTGAAGTCTGTTGTTGGAGTCTGAAGAGTCACATTCTCAAAAATGAAAAAACTTGTAAAAACAGTATAATAGATTGGTTCAGAAAGTCTGTACTTAATCTTATAAGTTTTAAGAACTTGAAACACACTGTATTCAAAAAGCAAAACTGTGCAGTAGACTGGGGAAGATCAAAATGAGTGATATCAACTTTATAATAAAACAATCATGAAGAATCAATCAAGGCTGTGTTAGGCTGCAACAATTTACTTGAGTGGAATTAGGTCTTTACAAATCAGAAATTCTCCCTTCATTAAGAACAAACTCAAAAACTGAAATTG